GTTGAAGATGTGAGCAGCTGCACGAGCACCAATATCCTCAGTCTTTTCGAACGCCTGAATCCTCTTCAGCAACGCAACATCATCCTTCTCTAAATCCCCAAAGAAGAAAAGGAGAAAGGAAGAAACCCATAGCCAATAGCCCTGCAACGCGTGCCATACTTATCCCGCTTCCGCTGAGCCGCAACCGACACAACACGACCAGGAACGAAGTGTGTCAATGGAGAAGACCCCATCAAGTCAACACATACATCAAGGCCTCTGCCCCAGGAATAAAGCAACAGATCTGCTAGTCGAAGAGCCCTGTCATTTCCTCCTGTTAACCCAACGTTAACCTCCTTTCTCGCAGAAATCCCAGAGCAAAAATATCAACAAGGGTATCACGAACAACATTGTGCCGATGTTTAATACCCACCAATCCAGCACAAGACACTGCATGATCCCCAAAAATATGCCCGTCGAAAACCCCTTAAGCAAGCGGAACACGGTGCCGAAACGGAGAACAATGGAACGCCCAATCTATAACAATGAACAGAACGGTAAGTCTTACCGTTCATAGTCTTATTATTATTATTATTATTATTATTATTATTATTATTTGTAAAGTTTTATACAAAAAATATTTTTCCATATTCCATATACCATATACAAGTTACATTTCTTTCTATTTTATTTCATATACTTTATAATCATATTTCTTAACTAAAATTTCAACTAAATATTGTGTAAAATATATAACATAAATTTTATTGTGTGGTTGAGAATATTTAGGGAAAAATATATATAATGTTATTAAATTTAATTAAGTGGATCAAATAATTGTGATTATTTATTGGGAATTTTTAAACCAAATTTAATACAATAATTGTGATAATCTATTGGGATCAAATAATTGTGATAATTTATTGATAATTTAGGGAAAAATATATAATATTATTAAATTTAACTTAAGTGGATCAAATAATTGTGATAATTTATTGGGAATTTTTAGATCAAATTTAATACAATATCCATTTCATATATTTTCTTAACAAGAAAATTTTATGACATTGTAAAATTGAAACAAAAACAGGAAACAAGAAAAAGGTGTTTCAGTTTCCTTTTTTTTTTTTTTAAAAATAAGAACCAAAACAGGAAACAAGAAAAAGGTGTTTCCACTTTTTTGTTGTCAGTTTTCAAAATTATAATGATTTTAAATTAGTATAAATAATTTTGATTCATTATGTGACATATATAATATACTTTTAAAAAATAAAAAACCAAAAAAAAAAAATCTGCGATTCCAAACAAACCCCTAACTTATAGTTTTTGGCAGAGAAGTCGGCTTTTCAGGATGTATTTTGGCTTTTTAGTCTTTGACTAAGATAGAAAGTCAAAAGTCAATCAAGTCACTCAAAAGCCATTTACCAAAGAAGACCTAAAATATGCTTTAAATATTGAAATAAACACAAATAATTAATCAATTTTGGTGATTTAAAAGACAATGGCATCTGAATTCAATGGGGGTAAATATAAAAAAAATTAGGGATATAACTGTCTATAGAATTTATAAAAATTTATACCTTAAAGGTTTTTACTTTATCACAGGGTATCATTTTATTTGTGCAACCCATTTTCCCCCATTTTTCACTCATATGAGATGGAAAATTTATACATGTTGGATGAGATAAAAAAAAATTAGGTTACAATAATAACATTTTACTCGATTATAGACATATTATACAAGTTGCAACCATACTAATGTTACTTAAGTTGGGTTAAAATTGATACTAAACTTACTTTTAAATTGATAGACTTTCTTTTTTAACTAAACCCCAACAAACAATTAATTACTGTTGGAAATGGTAATGCAATCGGAAGATTCTCGCGCCTGGTCGGGCAGTGGTTCGCCCGACTGGGCGGTGGCTAAGGAGAAAGAGGGCTCTCGCGCGCCGATCGGGCGGTGGTTCGCCCGACGAGCGGTGGAGTTGAGTTTTTGACGAGCCCTATCGGGCGACTCTTGCTCGATTGCTCGCCAAGGGTGAAATTTCCAGATCGCCCGACCGGGCGTGACACCAGGTCTGGGAAATTTTATCTCGTTCCCGATCGGGCGGCTGGTTGCCCGATCGGGCCCGCCTCTTCCTTAGGTCGGTTTGGTTTATTTGTTTCATGATTTCAAGACACATATAAATACGAATATTGCCTTTTCTATTTCATTATTCACATTCGAAAGCACAAACACAAACTTATCTTTTGAGATCTGAATAGTTCTTGAGCAATTCCACTCTTCGGGTTTGGGTACACAAATTACAAAAGAGAGTTGCATTAAACTTGAGGAGCATGTGTCATCTGGAAACCTGTACCGGTGGTGGCGTATTTCGCTTCTAAAGCAATCAATTATGTTTCACGGCGCGACTGTGAGTTTGAGATCTTCATTCAAGTATTTTTCCCTTTCATCTTCTCTATTTTGTCATTGGAATCGACGTGTATTTTACCAACAATTTAGAAGCGAAATAGTATTAATTTATTATACTGTTGGTTCCTATTCAATTTGAGAAAACTATTATTCGGATGAAGAATTTGTATCCAGAAATTGGAATCAAGATTATGACTTATTACAGATGTAATTGACGAAGCTATCAACAAGATTGTAATTTGTTGGGGACAATTGAGTTGATTGTCAGATTTCGGATATCGAATTGGATTTCAAGATATTACGCCATAATGATGCAATTGACTCTTTATATTGGAGTTGAATTAGGTTTTAAGAACAACATGCCGAGTTAGGCGAATTGCCAATAAGTTGGAGGATTTATTTTGTATTGGTTAAGCAAAAGATTAATGGCACTCAACTGAATAAATTTGATGAGGATTTTATACTTTGGAATTATCAAGGGAATCGCATAGATGATTTGATCTCATGATTGTAAATTCATGGAATTTAATAGTTGACGCCCCTGCATCAAGTGGATTAATTTCAAGATTGTTTAAGTCGAAGCTTGAGTTAAGCGACTCCGTTAGTCCGGTGGGTATTGCGATATTGAAGATGTTGCTGCTAGATGTTTCAGAATATAATCATCTAGCTAGGCTCGTCAATAGCTTTGGTACATGCACAAAATCAGATAAGTCCTTCTCAAATAATTATTTTCTAACTTTACATTTATTATTATGAGCTATTGCAATGCAATGTGGGGATGAGATGGGTTAGATCTTGTAACTGACTAGTATGTTAGTTTTACTCTTGTAAATGAATAGTATTGAGGAGGAAGGTCTCCGTGAAAGACGTTTATTTGTGGCTATTTGCTCGTTGGTTTGCAAGTAATTTATTTCTGCTAATGTTTGTTTAGTCCAATGGTAATTTATTTATATTCATGGACTTTAATGTGTTTTGTCCTAGTAGATTAGGGATGACATGTGTTCTATCTTACGATAATGTTTTTGTTGACCTTATTCCTAATCATGCACAATGTTTTGTTGAGCACAAAGTATGTGATAAGCTTGTAAGTGTCCCTTTTTAGATTAAAAGGGGATTTAGAATTATTGTTTTTTTTTTAATTCTTGTGATCTTAATTAGTTTTGTTCACGAACTTGAAATGTATTTAATTGGCTAGAGGTGTAGCAATTATTTTTCTTGTTGATGATCTAGATGAGACCGGATTGATTTTCGTGCTTATTAGCATAATAAAAAGGCTTGATTTAATAAAACTAGAATGGTCGTGCAAGTTTGAAGTGTAAGTGCCCCACATGAGGTAAGGATGGGAATTAACATTCCATATGTCTTTAAAATCTATTAATATTGTGTGAAAATTAGTACTGTGGGGGTTAATGATATGTTTAAGTTGTTTATTTGTGTAGCAAGTAGTTCACCTAAGAATTTGGTTGATACTCCTTATTTTGTTACCCGAGTCGTGATCATTTTCATGTGGTATATATATGTGATGTGGGGGTTTCCAATAATGAAGAATTGACTTCTATATATGTTTCACGTAAAGCATGAAGGGTTGTGGGACTGTGGGTGATATGTATGCTGAATATCTGTTACGTTTATCATGTACGAGCTTGATATGTTAAATCCTGTGAAATGTCTCAAGTATATGTTTTCCTATGACATGACATGTTAGTTTTGCTCGTTCATAGAATTTGTTCTTTCTTCCTAAGCTTTATTCTGCCAGTAAAGTTGATGAGTTCATCATCTAAGGTGTATTGGATTAAAGCTTTAGCTAGTTGTGTATCATCTTGGGTTGACTTTCTTGATCGAAAGGTGTATGCAGAGATTAGTTGTGTGGTATGTATTCAAGTAGTGGTGGATGAAAAATCCTGAATCATATGGATAAACCTTGATTGACTAGTTGTGGAAAGAAGCATGTTAGCATGAGTTGTGCGCTCTCTTTGAATCTGATATGTTTGAGAAGAGTATATTTTGCCTTGCTACTAGAAATCCATCTGTTGTAAGTATCTTTCAAGGTGAGTTGAAAGGTGGTTGATTGGAAATGAGCTGAAGGTACGATACTGTGATATTTTGTAAGTTTGGTGCTGACCCACTTTTATGACTCACTTGGTTAGTTATAAGTTTGTCTATTTTGCAGTAAGGTTGCTTAAGCTTCCTAGCATGATTGATTGTAAATCAAGGGTAACTAGAGGAAAAAAGGCTATCCATAACGCGCAAAAAGAGCTTATTCGTAACGAGCAGCGACCGTTATGTATGTGGCCGTTACGGATAGGAAAAAGTTATTCATAACGGGCACTGTCCGTTACAAATAAGTAATTATTTGTAACGGGCAGGTGAAACGCCCGTTACAAATAACTACTTATTCGTAACGAGTGACATGAATGCCCGTTACAAATAACCAAGTATTTGTAACAGGCACTTTACCTCTCCGTTACAAATACTTGGCTATTTGTAACGGACATTGAAACTGCCCGTTACAAATAATCTCTAAACAAGACAAAAAATTATGGGGTATTGTAACAAGCACATGTGCCAGTTACAATACCCCTATTCTTTATTCCATTCACCACTCAAATTATAACATAAATCAAATCTAAATATTGGTTATTATCCTATAATACATGCACCAAATCCAATTTTGTAACTTAAAAACTGCTTATAAACCCATCCAAATGTAAAGTTCATATTAATAATGATTACAAAATTTAGTGAATAATGGAACACAAATTGGAAAATTTAGGACATTGATCACAACAGCAACGAGCATAACAACAGCAACGAGCAGCAGCAACACCAACCAAATTAATTCGCCTTCTATCCATGCCCAAATTTACTTGTGCTTCCAAAATTTCATCAAAATAGCCTGAAACAAATTGGAAAATTAGGACATTGATCACTAACTTCTTTCATAATTGACATCTATTTTTTTTATAACCTTTTAGTAAGTTTTATAAATTCACAAGGAGAGAGAGCACCATAGACAAATCATACACAAGTTTTGTAAATTTGGCTTCAACATTGATAAAGTCAGATACTACATATGAAGAATTAAAGACAAATCATACACAAGTTATAGACAAATCCTAATTAGAGTTAACGTGAATCAATGAACAAAAAATGGCCTAAGATTATGTGACAGGATAAAGTATGCATTGAGTTCGTGAAGCGAGGGCAAACAAGAAATTCAGAAAGCTAAGACTTGAAGCTTAAACAACCAGCCATAGATTCTGCTTAAAATCTATAACTTGAAGGCTTAAACAACCAGCCATAGATTCAAGTAAGCTACCACTCAACGAATTCATTGACATATTTAACACGTTTAAAGACCTAAGTTTTCCCACAAAAGTTGGCAAAACACCAAAGAAGTTGTTAGCTAAAAGATCCAGATTTTCAAGCCCTTGTAACCCTCCAATCCATTCAAGAACCTGACCTGCAAAGGAATTTTCTTCCAAATTAAGATACCCAATGAAACTCAAGTTCAACAATTACTTGACTTTGGCAGGTTCTCAGAAAACAAATTCCCACTAAAATCAAGTGATTTCAACAATGAGCACCCTCCAATTTCACCAAACCGGTTTTTACTCAAAGTAATGGTTCTCAGGTTAGCCAATCCATCCATTCCCTTGGGAATTTTATAACTCAACATATTATAAGACAGATCAAGTGACCTTAACCCTTGCAAACCCTAAATCCCAGCAGGTAAAGCCCCAAAATAAAAACTAATTAGTAGACAAATTAAGCACAGAAATTCCAACACATGAGCTCAAACTATCAGGGATCAGCCATGAAAACTATGTATAAGCTAAATTAACAGTTCTCAAAGGTCCACATTGTCTAAAGAAATCAAGGGGCAATACACCAGAAAATCCATTCACTCAAGTCAAGTATTCTCAAGTTAGAAAGCCTTACCAATGCATGGCACTAAACTATTACAGTATTTAACTAGAAAGAAGCAATGAATGAAAATTCCCAGATCTGAAAATTATATATCCAGAAACCAAATTACAGTATTTAACAAGATCAATTATAAGTGAGCACAAATTAAATAAACCGAATATCATAATTCATGACACTTGAAACCAAATTTGAAAGCCAAACTAATACTAATACAAAAAAAAAAAAAAAAAAAAAAAAAAAAAAAAAAAAGATCTCGTCATATGTTTCTATTAAAAGAAACCTAATTTAACAAACAGAGGCTCAAACAGATTCCCATTTTTTATTATTGACAATCAGAAAAATCCCAGAAATCAAAATTAATTTAAAGAAAAGTTAAAAAAAAAATTCTAACAGATCAAAGACAACTAAAAAAAATCAAAATACAATTACAAGTGAAAACTCGAGGACAAATATCAACGAATTGAAAACAGAAATATGTAAAACCCAAAAAACACTAACCTTTCAAACAAACCCACAGATCACCCAGAGAAAATGGACATTGAAATTCATCGACCGCCGATCCGAGTAGAGGAAAGTGGAAGTTAGGGCGACCATTGAGTTCCTTCGAAATACTCTTCGACGCAATCTCCATAAAACCTAAAAAGATCAAAATGATTCAGCGGCTCAACTCAGATCTTCAAGATCCGACAAAATTCAACCAAAAAAACTTAAAACTATCCCTAAAGTAAGCTAAAAACTTTAAATTTCAAAGCAAAAAATTATAGATCATCATACCAACGTGAAGAGAAGGAATTCTCTCTTTATTTGTTTCTTTAATGTCTAGCAGATTAATGATGAACATCGCTTAAAATTATTGAGAATTGATGAACAAATAACATGATAACAACCTTAAAGATAATATTTTCATGCGTGGCAAGGATTTTCGGGTACCCGTTGGATTTTCGGGTAGTCAATTACTCGGCCCATGTCCCGACCCGAGAAATCCGGGTACCCAGATTTCGGGTACCCGAATTTCTCGGGTCGGGTCGATGGGTACCCGAATAAAAAAAAACTTAAAATAAAGAAAGTTTAATGCTGCAACTAAAAGCAATAAAAAAAATGCTTCTAATACACGTATTTGAAAATAATCAATATTCAACCCAGGAATTAAAACAAAATTGAGGGAAATAACTATTGCAAATACAAAATATTAAAGATAAAATAGAGGGGAACAGTGAAACATGCAAACACCATTATCATTCCCAAATGAACAACTTGGCAATCTGAACTCAAACTCGCGTGGTTGCCGCTGCGGTGGGAATCTCTCGCGTGGTTGTCCGTTGTTCTGCTGCGGTGGAGATCTCTCACGCGGTTGTCCGTCGTTCCGCTGCGGTGGGACCGAAGAGTCGAAGACCCCTTGCGTGGTTCAATTACATCGATTCACTTGGTTGATAAAAGGCTTGCTAAGTTGTTGTGACTTGTGAGAGTGTGTGATTGGGTCTAATTCCATGGAGCGTCTCTTCATCACCATATAGCTTATGTGATGAGCAATCTCATGACACAAACAACTTCATTACCTAGCAATATCCTGGTTCTTGTTGCTGATGTTTGAGTAGGGGTATTAAACGATGACACCCTCAACATGGCGCAACTACTGTGTTCTGCTACTCATGCAGCCTCAGTCGGTTATTGAGTATTCTTCTAGTGCTTTCTTTTCATTTTTTTGATACCTCTTAAAAGGCAACCTAGCAACTCTACCTCCGCATAAGAATGTTACCAGCTTTCTCTTAAGAAGAAAGCTCATTAAAAATTTTCTTTTTTTTGATAGAGAAACACTTTAGCATCACATATCTTCCCTTAAATACTGAAGAGAAAGCATAGATATTAACAGAGTTTTTTAATAATGTGGCACAAAAACAAATCGAGCAATTTGTGAGAGGAGATAAACATGAATGTTAATCTTAGAGAATAACTTTAATCTACAACAATCAGAATTATAGCCCTATTAACTTCATTCAAAAAATGCGTCATCTTTAAATTAAAATAAACACTATGATTTAGTCAAAAACAGGCAGAAATAAGTACTCTATCCTCTAAATATTACACTTAGCTAAATAAATTCACATCTAATTTTCAAGCATAAATAAATTAAGTGAATAATAGCAAAAAAATTCATGAAACAAATTACATTTCTCAAACATAGAAGCACTCCTATATCATCATGTATCAATCAAACATATACCAAATAAAATAGATCGAAAAACAAAAAATCCAGAGAAAAGCAGGAAATACCTTCGAACAATACGCTAGAAGATCTTAGAAGGAGCACGGAAATGAATAGGACCATGAGAAGGTTTGGTGTTTATCCTCTTACGAAAAAACGAAGATACTTCATGTAGGGAATATTTCAAGTCATCTCACACTTGAGCCCCACTGTGATCATACACTTAAGCATGGAGGTGTCCAAAAGGAAGGAAGCTAGAGTGAAAGAGTCGTCAATAAGTTTTAGGAACTTGTAAACCGCTCACAGGGTGAGTTCACAGGGTGAAAGTTACACCCCTTAACAATCCAAGAGATCGTTAAATCCAATAGGTCTGGAACCATGACTGGAAGTTCAGGGATGAAGGTACAAATCCAAACTAAAATAGAATGAACCTTCCCTAATAATAGGCCTCTACTTTATTCTTCTCGTATTCATGTGCGCTTTCTGACTAACATACAATCAACAGATTAACCCTAAACCTGTTTATCTATGTTGGTTGAATATTAATGCACAAATAAGACTATTATTGGTGATCACTTGAATTATAATCAAATTAGCCCTAAACAAGATTATTAATTATCTCATTAAGCGTGATTACAAGTACAAATTCCCTCTAAACATGCATAAAAGGCATGATCAAGCAATAACAAAAATAAAAATCAAGCAACATAACAATAACAATCATAACAATTATAATCATAATTAAAATAATCATGTTAAAGCATAATAATAATAACAAGATCCTAGGCATGATACTAACAAGATTAATAACAAACCCTAGCATGTCACTAAACATGAAAGATTAAAGCTTTAGCCCTAACATGATACTAACATGATATTAGGAAAGAAAATAGGAAGCATTCTTTTAATCATACTTGATATTAGAAATATTAATTAACCCTAAACATGATACTAGGAATCAACAAAATAATCTAAACATGATTTCTATATCATAATATCAATAAAGCAATTAAAGTACTTACTTCGATGCCTCGTACCTCTTTCTAATAACAAAATACACGCGTTATTTACTTCAAGGAAAATAATAAATCAAAAAAATTAAATTAAATAACTGAAATTGAGATTTGGGACCAAACCCTCATAAATACCAAACCTTTCACGTCTAGAACAAAGACAACTTCGAACTTGGCTAGGTGTTTCTAAAGCTAATGTATGAGGAATTTTATGAGAGGGAAGGTTTAGAAAAAGAATAGAGAGGGAGAAAGCTTCTAGCTTTTAGAGAGAGAATTAGATTGTAGACGTGGATGATTTGAAAACAGGGAGAAACTAACCCTATTTATAATAAACACAGCACGGGATCAAAGAAAATCATATTCGAAATGAAACTCTTCCCGTCGCAAACGATAGGAGCCAGCGCCAAACGACGAACCTCGTCGCCAGGCAACGAAGGTCAGCGCCTGGCGACAACTCCGTCATCTCGCGCTGGTCCAAAAGTCAACACCCTTTTCCACGCGTAATTACCTTCAATACCGGTTGCAGGTATGATGAGTCTATTTTATATATATTTTTATTCCCCGTCCCACGGTCATATTTGTGCTTATTTTAGCTCTGTGGAACTATTTTTGTTACTAATATACGTTTTCTATTGTTTTGGTAAATTTGGTATTATTTTGCAGGAATTTGCAGATTTATGATAATTCCTGAGTTTATTAAGCCACTACGAAGACGTTAGAGTCGGATCGTATTTTATAACCGTACATTTGAAGCTTAAAGTCGAGCTAACTAATTTGATTTGAGGATTAAGGGCTCGGTTCGTCAGAGGACTAATTTTATTACAAGTCCAATACTGGATATCAAGATAAAGGATATTGGGTCAATTCGTATGAAGCCCAATTTATAACCCAAGAAGCATACTTGTTGCTCCCAACTTAGGCGAAATTGACGGGCCCGATTGGATGGACTAATGGCCCGATCGGGCGAGTGTTTGTTGCATTAAGTCGGTTTGGCGGTTTGCTATATAAACCGAAGTTTGAAACAACTAGGGGGAGTTTTTTTTATTTTTTCTTTGTTTTCTTTTACGGAGCTTTTAGGATAGTTTTAGGAGAAAAACTTGTAATTGTTTTCTTGAGTATTAGTTGACTTTGGGAATAGTTCACGCAGCTTTCTTTTCTTTTTTCTTTCTTATTTTTAAGCTTTGATTATTAGCTCTGAAGTTTTGTGCTGGGAATTAAGATTATTACGTTCTTATTAGTTATTACGTTCCTTCAAGTTGCTCGTTGAATGTTTTTATTTAAACTTAATTATTATTGCTTTTGTTTCTTTCATACTAGTTTTATTATTATTGTTTTGAGTATGTTTGTTTTAATTGCTTTGTTTAGTTTAGTTTTAATTATGCACGAGTAGTTTATTCTAGGGTTGTGGGGATCCATAAATAATATGAAGGGGTAATTTATTGTTGTTAATTGTCAATGCTAGATTAATTTCCTATTGATTGATTCAATGCTCTGTGACTAGATTTGCGCAAATCTTTTATGCATGAGTTTGACAATATTGATTCGAGATTCGACAGATGAGAATTAATGTTTAGGTCTAGTTTCAATAGGCAGGTTAATTTATAAATGGTTAAGTCGAGATTCGAGAGATTAGATTTAATACCGGTAAATTAATTATGTGATTGTAGTACATAGCGAAAGTCCTTTATGATCTGATTAATTTATGCATTGATGATTGATTATTATATTTTACCCTGGAATATTATTTATTGTGAACCTATGCCCTAGGCCTTTTATTCATTGTTTTCTCCCTACTCTTAATCTTTGTAGTTTAGTTTCCTTTGATTACAATATATTGGTTACTTTATAATCTAGATTATAATATTTAATTAGGAATAGGAAGACTCGTTTCTCTGTGGATTCGACCCTACATCCCTATCTACATTAGTTAGAGCATTTAGGAATTACTTTTGATTAGGTGATACGACTTTTAGCCTGTCAAGGTAATTAAGCGTCCGAGAAGTTTTCGAAATCAGATTTAATATATTTTATTCTAAATAAAACATTATTTTCAAATAATAATTAATAGGCCCTCCACTAGATCATCGGGCCACCTTTGAAAATCATTGGGCCTAATCTAATTTAATCTATAACTTCCTCATAAGTCATTGGAATTGGGCCTATAATATATCATTGAAAAGCTCTTTTTGAGCCCAATCCAACTACACTATTATTGGACCTTTATTATGGAACAAACCAAATTGGAATGGCTATTTCTCATAAATAGGATTAAGCAAAGAAATATTTTTAGAAAACAGGATGAGAAATATTTTAATGAAAACATCCTCATCATTAGACTTTCCACACTTTCACCTGGTCCGATAATTAAATGACGTGAAAGGTATTCATCACCGGGTTTGATTTTGGGGAGACACATTTGGGTGTCTACACTTCATCTTCTACCTAACAAGACCACTAGAAAGTGTGATCTCTTCGCAACGAACCACAACAACACGCTACCCATAAATTGTTGCGCAAATTTGAAATCCCCATCAATAAACCCCCGTCTCTTCCGGTTGCGTTGAGGAAAGACCTTGAGAAGGATCCGGCGCAACCCCCATGAATAAACCCTTGGATCTATAAAGCAAATCAAAACCCCCAATTTAACCATTTTTTCTCTAAGATTGATGGAGGAGAGGAGAGAAGGACTGAGT